TTTTCTCTCTCCATCTCCTGGCCGGCTGACCCACTCACCAGCCTTTGCATGCTGGCCAGGTCCTCCTCAGGGGTCAGTTGTGCACTCGGGACAGGAGCAGGATTTCCCTGCTTTGCCTCCCGTGGCAGCTGGCCACTGGTCAGCCACACAGGCATAGACTCCCATCCTGCCTCCTTGTCCGAGTGGCCAGCTGCCTGAGGAGGCAGGGAAGGGAAGTCCAGGTTCTTGCCCAGGCAGAGGACCTGGCCAATGTGTGCAGGCTGGTGAGAACAGGCCAGTAAGGAAGACAGGAGGACAACCCTCATGCCACAAAGCAGCTGACCATTTCCTGTCCTTTCCCAATGCCCGCCATTGGTTGCCACTCGCTCTAGAGTGCTCTACTCACTGGTGATCTGCATGCTTCTGTCTGGGACCTTCAGCTGCCCAGCTGTCTTCTTCTGGCTGTCCTGCCGGAAAGAGCATTTAATCATCACCAGAGAGGAACGGCTATTAGGCGATTTTTAGTCCCACCGAGACACCCTGACTGATGTTATGGGGGCCTGCCTCTGAGTTTGTCTCTAACCAGGCAGAAAAAGCATTGAGCAAAAAGAGCTTTTCCTGTCTAAAAGGAGACCGGATGGACCCCCCCCTTCCTTCTCTGTACGATCCTGCCCAGGTGCTAAGCTCTTCAAGGCAGGCCTCACCAGGTGAGGTGAGTGAGAAAGACCTCCGTGGCTGCTTCCGGGCTGTGGAACTCTCTCCCACATGGAACTGGGTTGACTCCTCCCAGTTTCCCTTCTGCCGAGGACAAAGATTTTTCTCTTCTGGTTGTTTGGCATTTGACTGAGAAACAGACTTTGAGTTTCGATGCTATATTTCTTACTTCTACTTTTTTTTAGTTCAGTTGCTGTTGTAACAGGATTACAGAATGACAGAATTGTAGAGCTGGAAGGGGGACCCCCAAGGGTCATCCAGTCCAGCCCCTTCCTGCAGCAGAAAGCCCGGCATGAAAGCATTCCTGGAAAGTGGCCATCCAATCTCTGTGAAGAAATGTTCAATGAAAGAGAGGCCACCACTCTCTGAGAGAACCCAGTTTGTTGTCAAGCAGCTTTCAAAAAATTCTCCTTACTGTTGAATTAAAATACTGTTTACTCTTTGCTTTTTTATTATCTTATCCTTCTTAGAGAGAAGTATTGGCTGGAATTCTTTTGGTGTTCATGGAAGCTTTGTGGAGCGGGCAGTGGTGAATTGCCACGGTGCCAGGCGGCATCTGGAGGGTGCCATGGAGCGTGGGTGACCCGGTTTGCAACGCAGATGTGCTTTGGGCACTTCTTCGATGGGCGGCAATTCGGGGGGGGGCAGTTTCACAGACCTCGCCGAACACCAGCCGAAGGCTTCTGGCCAGGGTTTGGCTTCAGCTTGTCCTACTGCAAGATCAGAATTGACCACTAGAGAGAACCAGGGGGGGGGGCGTTTGTTTGTTTTTTGGGCCTGTGAGTCAGAATGGTGCCCATGTGCCAAGGAGAGCTCAGGGGTTATCTCTGTAGATGGAGCAAGAGTAATAAAAGCCATCCTCCAGCTGCTTCGAAGGAAGGAGGGAGGCAATGGGTGGCTCATAAGAGTCTGAGCACCTTCTAAGACCATGCACATCTTTTTTGGACGGCCCGCCTCGCAGCCTTCCCCTCCAACCCCCCGTTTTGCTCACCCCCTGCTTTTTGGCTCCCCCGAGGCTGGGGTCCTGTCGGTGCAGAAGGCTCCCCAGGACAGACCGGAAGTGGCACCAAGCCTTGAGCGCCTTCTGTCCCCTGGACAAGCTGTCCGGAGTGCCAGAGCCGGGAAGAGGCGCGTCGACACTCGAGATCCGGGGGACACGGTGGAGCTCAGAGGGATCGGGGGGCTCCAGGGTCAAGACCCTCACCCCTGGCAGGGCTGACTTTGCTCGGCCCCTGTGAGAAGACAGGCGGAAAGAAAAGAGGTTTAGGGATTGAATCCCGGCCACCCAGGGCTCCACCGTCACTTACTAAATGTCACGTAGCAGCCAAAGCTTGGAAACCTTCCTTCTTGGACTACAATTCCCAGTATCCTGATCTATCTAGCACTAACTAATCCTTCCTTCCAGCCTTTGAATTCAAAGAGAGCCCTGCTTCTCCGGTGAGGGTCCTTTCCCTCTTTTTCTTCACTTGATGTGAGTTGTTTGTTGGCTGTTGTTGGTTTGTTTGGTTTCTAAGTAGGCAGGTCGTAAACAAAGCAGCGTACATAAGTCTGTAATTTCAAGCAAGCGTAAATAAAAGAATTTTTTAAAAATTCTTTCTCCTACAAATATTTTAGAGAGTGTGTTATGAAGTGCTGTTGAATGAGAAAGGGGTGGACTAATCCGGGGGGACTTGAAGCTATTCTCTTCTGTGGGAGTATTTATTTCTATGGCGTAGCAAGAGGTGTTTTTTTTTAAACCAGAAATTCAAAACTCTGCAACAGAAGAATGGCCATCCTCTCAAAGGAAGGCCAGTGTCACTCACTTTTTGGAACTATTCCACCACTTGCAGGAAGTTGGGTGGTTCTGCTTCTGGGCAGATGACAGAGCCTGTTCAAGAAGACATATGGCGGGGAGGGGAGGGGGAAGAAAGAGAGTCAGAAGCCAAGTAGCTCTCACGATCGTCGAACTAATATCATACTACATTTTGTACAGCAAAGACACATAGGTTTTGTGTCAATGAACGTCCTGTGTCCAATATAGAGAAATATAAGCAACCAGAGAAAACGTTAAGGGATGTGTGAACATCAGTAAAATGCTCAATACTTAGAATCAAAAAATCAATGCCCTCCCCCCCCCCTGAGAAAGGCTGCTCTAGAGTGACCGGGAGCAATTCTGCCATAGTTTAAGGACCCCCCCATCACTGCCTCTCAATGTTAAAGTATTTCAAAAAATATGTTTTTGGCCACTAGAGGGTGCAAAGGGGCCTTTTCCATTAAGAAGAAGACACTACTGTATTTATAAGATTTTTTTTTTGAAGGGCCGAGGTCCTGAGACACTGTGAACTTGAAAGGGACTGGCATGTGTGTGTCCCCTGGAATTTTGGAGCTTTCCCCACAACGGGTCTACAACTTCGAGTGCTCGCCGTTTGCAAAGGATAAGATCCAGAGAAGGGCTGGCGCCGATTCGAGACAGGCATCCAGGCAATGCCCCTGTTTCTTCTATGATTTTCTGCAGGTGGAGGTCTAACCTGACCCGTTGGATAAAAATGCAGCTTGTATTAACTGCAGTGACTGTTGTTGGGGGGGGGGAATTAAGGAGTGGAGGTTTGGAAAACTAAGTGTCCCGAGCTCTGTGAGGAGCGGCCATCGTTGCTGGGTCTCTGGAAGGGACTCCAGAACGCAGGTAGCCCCCTCTGGGGCTGCAGAAGATGATTGCAAAGCACACGTGGGTGAGATAGGATGGGCCTCGAAGCTCCCCATCTCCAGGCAGGCACACAAGCAATTCCCTCTCTCCACAAGCCCCAGGCCCCGGCTTCATCCTTTCTGCCCCACACGTGCCCCACGGAACCCAGCTGCCCCGTACCTCGGACTTGCATCTCTGCTGAGCGGCAAGCAAGCGGCTGATCTGGCTGCACAAGAGGAGGAGCAGAGGTGTCAGGTAGAAGGCGGCAGGGATGGTCACCAGCACGCTGGGAGCAGAGATGGAGAGTCAAGGGCATATGGGGCAGAAAGAGAGGGACGGACAAAAGCCTGGAGACCACCAAGGTTTCCATCCTGCCGCCCAAGCGGGGAGGAGCGGGAACCACGAGGACGGCTAGCTTGGAAAGGTACAGCTCTGCCCGCGTTTAGGCAGTTCCTGTGCAAGTAAACATTTTGGAACGTGCTTGCAAACGTCCACAACGGGAAGAGATATGGGTGCTGTGACCAAATAATGCCTTTGCCAGGTTAATCATCCTCATTGCTATCCTCATTGCCATCTAAGGATGGCAGAGCTGGAAGGGACCCCGTGGGATCATCCAGTCCAGCCCCTGCCAAGGAGGCCCAGTGCAGGAATCGAACTCCCAGCCTCGGGTTCTGCAGCCAGAGGCCTAACTCAGTGGAGCTGTCTAGCCCTCTCCAGCTATGGGAGGCTCCACCTCTCAAACCCCCAGGAAATTGGAGAAAGCGTGGAGGAAAGGACCCCCTGCAGACCTAGGATGGGGTACGTGTTTTTGTCTTGTGCCTTTTTTGGGGGGTGGGAAGGATACGTGCAGATCTTCTCTATGCTGAAGCCCTGATGGGCACTGAGCGCAAAGTAGACCAGGCAGGAAGTCAGCACGGCCAGGTCATATCCGCTCAGGAAAACCACGAAGAGGGTAAAGAAGCGGACATTATGGCAACTGATGCAGTTGTTCACCCAGACGCAGTGATGGTCAAATTCCTGTCGGTGGGAACAGAGAGAGAGAGAGAGAGAGAGAGAGAGAGAGTCTGATTCAAACAATGCAAATATAGTTTTCTTCCCAACCCCTAAATGGAACCATGCTCTGGGACTTCTGGGGGCCCCGAGGCCACGTTGTAAGCTGAGCCTTGATTTTTCAGAATACCTGATCAAACGGTGGAGGCTTTTCCTCCTGCCGGAGGTGCAAAGAACTTGGGATCTAAAACAATGAAACGCTGAGCAGCAGATTTTTGACCGCTTTGTGCATCCAAGGCAAGGGTTAATAATAGTCATCATCATCATGGGCCATCAAGTTAATTCTGACTTTTGAAGACTCTTTTTAAGTAGAGAATACTCGGAAAGGGTTTTCCCTTCCCTTCTTCCGTGGGAGCAACTTGGGACAATATATATGTGAAGGCTTTCACGGCCGGGATCTAATGGTTGTTCTAGGTCTTTTGGGCTCTTTGGCTCTTTGTTCTGAAGATTTTTCTTCCTAACGTTTCGCCAGTCTCTGTGGCAAGCATCTTCAGAGGACAGCAACCTGTGCTCTGGTGTAGTTGGCTTGGGAGTGCAGTATTTATGGCTGTGAGACAGGCCTTTCTCCTTTAAAATAATGTGCTGTAAAGTCCGTTCTGACTTATGATGACCCTTTCCAGGGTTTCCCAGGTAGAGAAAGCTCAGAAATGGTTCCTCAATCCATTCTCCTGGGGATTTTTGTCTTTTTCTGTAGATGGGTGATTAGTGTGTATTGTTGTGGGTGTATTGTGTGCTGCCCTCTAAAGATGCCGGCCATAGAGACTGGTGAAACGTCAGGAAGAACAACCTTCAGAACACGGCCAAAGAGCCCGAAGAACCCAGAACAACTTGGGACAGTTTGCAGCTGGCCCAAGGCCACCCAGGCTGGCTTTTTCTCCCTAGAGGCCCGTTTGGCTGGCTTTTTCTCCCTGGAGGCCCGTTTGGGGGAGGGGGGGAATCAAACTTCCAACCTCTGGATCCACAGCCAAGAAACGTCTCCAAGTAGCTTAATTCTTCAAAACCAACAGCCTGTGCAGGGCAATACCTTTGCTGGATCATGAAAGAATCACACACGCAGAAGGTGAGTTTGATCAGACGGAAAAGGCAGAGGCTCCTTGTCGAGGCGCCTGGGTGGCCGGATCGGCCGGGGGGGGTGCCCTCCCAGTAGGCAAGGGGGAGAATTTGTGGCGAGGTCACGGGGGACAGGCTCTTTGGTGACCGTTGCAAAACGGGGGCGTGTGCACGTGCGGAGAGACTCTCTGATGCAGCTGCTCCAGAGGAGGTGCTGTAATGAAAAAAAGCCAAGGGTGCTTCGGAGCATGTGCAAAATGACATGTCCCAAACAGAGCCAGGCTGGCAAGGTCCACGTTCCTTGAAGTTTCAGGTCCCAAGTCTGAGATGTGAAGAATGAGAAGACCGAAACCTCTGCATCTCAGGGCCAAGACCTGGACGTGTTGATCAACCCTCTCAAGGGCACGGGAGAGAGAGAGACCCTTAACACCCTTTTCCCAGGGCAGTGGCCATTGGCTCAGCAGTCTGTTTCTTATTTATCTATCTATTTATTTATATCTATCCTGCCTTTCTCCCCAAAAAGGACATCTTGTCTGAAGGAGGGCTCTGGATGACTCAAAAGAGGCCCTTGTTTTTAACATTGCACACACACACACACACACACACACACACACACACACACACCGTGGATGCTGAAAACACACGGTGGATGCTGAAAAAAATGAATCACGGTAGATGCTGTTATGAGTGTGAATGTTGTGCATAGCATGGTCTCTGTCTCCCTCGCTTGTCCAGTTCTGGTCATGACACCATAGAAATAGTACATTTCTCAGATACAGTGGTGCCTCACTAGACAGTTACCCCACATGACAATTTTTTCGCTAGACGGAGACTTTTTGCGATCGCTATAGCGATTCACAAAACAGTGATTCCTATGGGGGAAATTCGCTGGACAATGTTTGGTCCTTGCTTCGCAAACCAGTTTTTGCTAGACGACAATTTTGACAGCTCCCTCTGCGACCTAAGCTTCGCAATACAGCTAATTAAACAGCTGATTGGCGGTTCGTGATGTGACTTTCCTATGGCTGATCTTCGCTAGACAACGATGATTCTTCCCCATTGGAACGCATTAAACAGATTTCAATGCATTCCAATGGGGAAATGCTTTCCGCTAGATGATGATTTCGCTAAACAGCGATTTCAGTGGAACGGATTATCATCGTCTAGCGAGGCACCACTGTAATGCTATACAGTGGTGCCTCGCATAACGGGTGCCCCGTTTAACGATGAATCCGCATAGCGATGAAGATTTAAATAGGAAAAATCGCTTTGCGATGATCTGTACGCTGTTTCTCTTACCGATAATCACATAGCGATGATTTCCCAACAGCTGATTGGCGATTCCAAAATGGCCGCCAGGTAAAAAAAATGGCCGCCCGCTGTGTTTTCACCTGGATTCCTCGCTTACCAGGCAGTGAAAATGGCCGCCATATGGAGGATTTTCGCTTAAAGGTGAGTTTTTTGCCCATAGGAATGCATTAAATGGGTTTTAAAGAATTCCTATGGCCTTTTTATTTTCGCATAGCGATGAAATCGCTTTGCAGTGATTTTTGCTGCACGGATTATCGTTGCTATGTGGGGCACCACTGTATATACAGTACAATACATAGCATGATCTCTGATTCCCAGTAGTGGCAACTTCATTTTTTTAATCTGTATTTCTAGGATGTTTCTTTTAATATTTTCAGGCTGTGGATAATGAATCAGTGGATACAGATCCCGTGGATAAGGGGTTCCTACTGTAACTCTGGCATCTTTTTACTCCCTTTTAACCACATTTTACTTTGGCCTTGGTCAGAGCCAGTTAATGGAGCATTCTTGAGCGTTCTGGGAGTCACCATGCCCCGAGGGAACATTCTCAGGCTCTGAGCAAAATGTTATCCGTCGCCCCAAATCGCTGTCTCTGGCTTTACCTCCACGCAAGTGTCACACCAGGCACAGTGGGAAGTGTGTGGCAAACAGTACAGCTGGCACTTGTTACACCAGTGCTGGTTGAGGTCGTTCATGTTCACGGGCTGGTTCATCAGCGTTTGGTCGATGCCTGACAAAGGAAGAGAGAGCAGGGGAGACATGAGGAGGCCCTTCTGCTCACAGATTCGCACTCGGAACCATGAGACTTGTGGCCTCGACCTCCCATTCAGGCAGCCACCCCAACCTTCAACAAGGAGCTAGAGCAAGAAAGGAAGTTAGCCAGGCTGGGGGTGTGTTTGGGGTAGGTGGGGAGGGACACGTTGAAAGTGTAAACCTTTGGGCACGCGCGCGAGAGAGAGAAAGGATTGCGAGGAGACAGCCACTCCGACCTCTCACCCCTGTGGAGGATTCCGGTGTCGGTGAAACTGGTGAGGAGGAAGTACAGAATGGTCGGGATAAAGAGGTGGCCGCAGATGATGGGGAAGGCCCAGGATATGTTCACCGCAAGCCAGCTGCACCTGAAACGAAAAGCAAAAGTTGGCACCGGATTTTGATATTAGGCGGTATCAGTTCTTGCGGGAGTTTTTACAACCTCGCCTGCAGCCAGGAGAAGTTGTGACTGGGAGGGGCCTTTCTGGGTTGGTCGGGATGACTGTCAATTTATCCAGCACTAACCAATGCCCACTCTGAATACAGAAAGTGTCCCGCCTCTCTGCTGAAGTTTGCTGAAAACGGTCATGTTGGTCAGTTTGCTGTTTGAGCTGTTCAATAGTAAGTAATGAAACCTTTTAATTCTTTCTCCTGCTAAAGTTGGACCGCAAGGTATGGAGTCTGTTAAGTGCCAATGAGTGAGAAAAGGGATCAACAACTTTTGATCAATAGTAAGTAATGAAACCTTTTAATTCCTTCTCTTGCTAAAGTTGGACCGCGAGGTATGGAGTCTGTTAAGTGCCAATGCGTGAGACGGCCATGAAAGCCTTCACGAATACAACTTTTGAGGACCTTGAAGCTATTCTTTTTTTGTGGATCCTTGCACTTCTGCCAAGCAGCTCAAGGAATGTAATCCAAAGTTTAATAACTCTGCAATAAAGTTTGCAGAGTTTGGATTTTCCTTGCCCAGGCTGTGATTGGTTGCGAACTTATTCCTGCCGCCCGTTTGACCCCAGAAAAGGGCTTTGGTCACATCTGGGAATGGTCAATAAGAGGCTTGGCACTCCACTCTGCAAGCCCTGCCTGGTTAACTCTCGGGCAACTGTATTCTAAACAAATTGAAGTTTTGAAACCAGCTTCAAAGGCAGCCCCATTGGGGGGGTTGGGGGAGAGGCATTCCAGGAAGTTAATCTGCCAGAGGCAAATGGCAAAGATAAGAGAACATCATCCTTTTTCTCTGGTTGTGATCATTAGCACAGCTAAAAATGCTGAAAAATGTCTTTTGCCAAAAAAAAAAAGGAAACCCAAACGCCACAAAAAAGAAGACGTGAAAACAGTTCAAGCCGTTCGAAGGCTAACCAGTGTATATTTCAGGATGTGCTCTTTTGTGAATGACACTCCTCTCCTCGGGTGTAAGGAAGAGGACTGTCAGCCGAGCCCGCCCGCTCTCAAAAATAATTCCGTCCGTCTCCAAGAGGCCACACCGTCCCTTTGTGGCTATTGTGGTTGGGGAAATGGCCAGATGTCTGTTTGCGGGCGCCCCTCGGCTGGCATTGGAGAGGATTCGAACCGGCCGACGACCAGCGGCAACGCCAGCTCTGGACCAGCTGCATGGGGGAGATAGGGACTTGTAGTCCGCAGCTGCTTTGGGGGAGGTGGGGATTTGTAGTCCGCAGCTGCTTTGGGGGAGGTGGGGATTTGTAGTCCGCAGCTGCTTTGGGGGAGGTGGGGATTTGTAGTCCCCAAAGAGGAGCCCTTGTCAAACCCTCAGCCACGCCTGGATGCCGAGGCCGGGAAGGGAATCGTGGCCGGAAAGGGTTTGCCCGACTTACGGGAAGGTAAAAAAGAGGCAGCTGAGGGCCACGAGGGTGCTGAAGTTGAAAGAGGCGAAAAGGCCAGACGTGAGGGCCTGGCAGGTTTCTTGACTGGACCCCATGCTTCTCAGGAGGAGACCCAGGAGAAGCCGTTTGGAGCAGCCAGGAATCCCTGGGCGTTACCACGGCAACGCCGTGAAACAGTAGAAGTGGAGGGAGGGGGGCTCATCTCCATGGTAACAGCAGAAGATGGCCACCACACGGGGTTCAAAGTGCAAAGGATTCTGGGATTCGAGTCCTTCCCTTGACCTGGGGTGGTTTGTCTGTCAGGATCTCTCTCTCACCCCCCATCTCTTCCCCCAACCCCCTCTGAGTTTGCAATGTTCTCTTTTTGGGGGGACTACGTTGCCCAGAAGCCTCTGCTTCCCACAAATCGACCTGGAGGATTCTGGGAATAGTTGTTCAGAAACACATTTCCCAGGTGCTCTTCATGCCACGGTTGAATCCAACC